TTGTTCATTTTAATGGATCGGCTTTTTAATGACCTGCTTAAGCCTTAAGGAACTGAAAATGTTTAATGCTAATCAGATTGTCTTGCTGGTATTGCAATTGACTGTAAGCTGATATCCAAAGAGAATCTTTGGGTTCCATTAATGCATATAAATTGACCATCTTGGTGTCAAGGAAGTGATTTGACATATAAAATGCGTTTCATAGCCTGAATGTATTATTTATTTTGATTTCATCTTGAACTTGGTTCCATCAATACATCTTATCATCAGCCAACCAAAAAAAAAAATGGAAGATAGTCAATATGCATGATTTGAAGAATTTAAAGGGAAAAGCAATCATTATTAAGTAATGCCTTCATATTCATTTCAAAATCCATCTAAAATACTTGTTTTCTCATTTCTTTTCTTTTTGTTTTAAAATGTGAGTTCAATCTCATCATTGGATTCTTGTTTTGTTTTTTATTTCCCGCTTGTTCTATGCTCGTCGTCATCGTCAATGCCGTTGGGTCGCATTTAAAGAGATACTGTATCTCAAATAGAAAATAAAGACTCAAAAATGTACTTTAACAAGTTTTGGATAGTAATAAAAAAAAAAATCATGCCTTTGGATCATTAATTTCATTTTGAGGTTGAAAACAAATTTGTGACTATGCAAGGCTTGGGAATGTTGAAGAAGAGAATTGAATTTTTTATTATCGAGGTTGTCGAGGTAAATAAACAGATTTGAGGTGTTTTAAATCAATTTGAGGCTTTTAGGAAACCTAAATTAATCATAATAGAAGTTTTAATGCTGTACAGTAAGACAATGAAAGACAAATCCTGCCTATAAACATAACCAACCCTTGACTTTTAGTTGCAACGACGACATAACATCAAGTTTTATCAAGTCTAGGAAGTTTAATGCTGTTTAATCATAGTCTTCATTCATCTGTTCATTTTATTGTACACAATTGTCATAAAACATCAAAATTGTTCCATTCAACATTCTCATTGTATCTAAATTAACTTCAAGTTCCTCAGCTTTTTATGCTCAATTGCCCCAATAATGATTTTACAAAAAAAATGTACATTTTTATTTATCTCATCGAATCTCTTCATAGCATCATTTTCCTTACAAATTCTCTCATATACTCACAAGTAGATTTTAATTGCCTGATGACTAGGAGGAAAATAAAGAAGGAGAAGACGAAGAAATGTTGTAAAGTCACGGTGAAATTCTTTTTTATTATGAAGATTAAAATCATCTATTGAGAAGAAATTAAGACTTCTTCTTGACGAGGAACAATAATATTTTGTAATATGGAATAAAATCTTTATCTTGTATTGTCCATTCTCTATGGAAATTGTGTTGTTGTTTGTAATTCCGTTGATTGACTATGAAAATAAATTTGTTTGTTATCTGGTACATGTCTGTTGGGAATTGGAATTATAATTAGGCTGTTTTATTGAACAAACGTTGATTGAACTAGCCTATTGTGGAGGACTTAACGAGTGAGCATTCTTCAGACCTCTCGCTCAAACCTAAATCAACAGTTTTGTGGTGGGATCTGAACTACTCATTTGATGACGTTTCTGCTTGTAGCCTACAAAGATTATTTAAGAACTGCGAAGCGACTCAAACTCATGATCTGTATTAGTATTGCAGTACCAAAGTACGAACTTAGAATAATCTAGAAACCGTTTAATGCAGCTTAATGACTTCGCTTTAATATAACTTAGAATGATTTGTTTTATCATTTTAGATTGAGTGGCTCGCCTTTGAGATTCAACAAACTTCAAGGGATTTAAAAACACTTATGGATATATGGGGATGAATGTGCGAGCGAGGAAACAAGAAATTTCTGTTTTGTTATCTCATGGCATATAAATTTCATGTCTCAATATCTTTCCATACCTAAGTGATCCGACGGAAGGATTCGAGGGACTTGAACATAGAGACATATTCACATTCACTTCTAAAAATATCTTTGATGATATAAAGAGCGGTACTTTATCGTTTCTTATCAAGATGTGTGTCTCAATATTGTATAGTATGTGCCTCAAATAACAGTTTTTTATTCCTTTTTTTTCACTGGCTGCTTTCAGGCGAAACGCTCACACACACAAAAAAAAATCATTTCTGCCTTATTTCATTCATCTTCTTTGCTTCTCTTTTGTTTCATGCGGTGGTGGTGCTACTGCATGAAAACTTTATATTTTTATTTTATTTCTCGTACAATTCATTCATGATTTTCTCATTCCATCTCCTTTAGCTCAACTCGACTTTATTGGAATGTCAGACCACTTGATATATTTTTATCAGTTTTGTAGGAAATTTTTCTTCTCTTTCTTTTTCTCCCTACTCGCTTTTTTTTGAGATCTAAATTGGCTTCAATAAAAAAAATATCATTGGCTTAAAATAGAGTTGGAATTTTTTAAAGAGTCAGCAATAATGTTAGATAAAAAGCCTTTTGTTGTAGCCTAATTTCCACAAAAATTCATGGTTACAGTAATTAAGGAAAAGTTGTGTTACCAAGAATCTAAAGGTTTGACATTAATACCACCAAATAAACATGATATGATCAACTCTGCCTTCAAGTGCAATAGTTGAAAAGTTCTTCTGCACAATATTGCGATTTTATACGAAACTAGAAAGTATTCATGGTGCAATTCATAAAATTTATTTCATTCAATTGGAAATCTTTGACTTTTTTGCAGTTCCTCATAATAAAGCGATGGCGTTTTTGCCTCCTTTGCTTGTTCTGTTCCCAGCGAATCTATAAAAAAAATGGAAATAATTCTCATGATGGTTATTGTTTTTGACTTTAGTTGCTGATGTTCGTTCTTCTTTCTCTTTATGTCATTTTATTCTTTTGCATTCTGACTTGATTCTCGATTGCATCTGAAATAATTTAAGTCGAAAATTACATTTCGATGAATAAAATCAATTTAAGAGTTTTTTTTTCTGCTTCTTCCTCTTACAACAAATGTCTCATCTTCTATTGTAAAATTGTCTCATTCTTAAATAAAAGATGTGAAAACATCAAGAAGAAAAGTCTCGCGATGCTTATTTTGTGATATCAGCTTATTTTGTATATGTGCATGCAAATGCGAGAAGTTTAAATGAGAAAAATCTTGATTAAAATTCAATCAAAGTTAAGAAAACATTGTTAAAAGTTTTTAAATACTCTGTGAGTCATAGACAAGGGCACTTTACTCGAGTACTCGATTGTTGAAGTTGTTTTCATTGAGAGGCATTGTCGTCATATCCATTGATGGATAGTTTTCTAAGAGGAATAATTGGCTAAATTAGTTATCTATACATGAGTCGTCAAACCTCTTGAGACTTGACTGCTGTAATTTGTTGGTTATATTGATTTCTTATTGGAATATGATAAGGTATTATGTCAGTCTTCAGAATAATGATGGAGTATGTAAAATTAAATCGAATAAGTATGCATTAATTTGTAGATAGGATTGTGTTTCATTCAAGCTACTTGACTGGAGCATGTAAGAGTTTTTGGAGGTTTAATTCCTGATAAATGGATCAAAATTCAGTTTGAGTATAAAAGTGAAGCTTTACAAATTAAATTTAAATTCTGAACATTTATCAAAATCTAAACTAAACAATTCAATTTACAAATTAAACATTAGAAAAGAAATCTAATTCCATTATCCAAATTTAGTACAAATTAAGTTAATCTTACTGAATTTGCAGTTTAATTAAGACTATTTAATTATTCATTTTATCATAATCTTGTAAGACAATTACCTTAATATTTACTTTTGCAAATGAATGTGATGCTTTCCATTGTAATTTATTCCTTGATGGATTGTGGAAACTTAATAACATGTTGCATATGCTTCAAGGAAAGAGTGAACAACATCTCTAGAGATTTATAGGTAAGAATACTTATCTAAACCTCGAATGTATTCCATTTGGTTTGCTTACTTTTGGTATTACACATTGTATTCACATAAAACATTCTTGATCTTATTGTGGCTTTTGAGGAAATTCATAAAAATTTTGAGTTTGATGTTTAGCTTATTATGTTGGTTTCCTTAATGTTGTGATGAATTTGATGATTCTTGACTTGGAAGAAACCGTAGAATTTTGGCAACTTTGGATGTTAAAAATGAAAAATTTGATCAACTCCTAATCAACAAAGATCACATCCCTTGCTTCATTATACATGAATTCAATTTACGAGCAATTTTATTTTGCCTTTCGTATAGTATCTCTCTCATGAGGTTTAATTGAATGTTATTTACATGCCACCACAAATGACTATAATAATGATTTATGCTTATGCTGAAGATGCACACAAAAAAGACAGAGATTATTGAAAAATTGATGCAGAAAATCGAAAATCATATAAATTTACATAAAGGGACATTAATTGAGTCACATCGTATTCACCGAAAAAAAAATGTATGTATTCATAAAGTATAATGTATGTGAATTGAGGTAAACATGCAATTCAGAGAAGAGATAAAATTGCATCTAAAAAAAAATTGAGAAGAATGAAGAGATGGAGAAGAAGAAGGATAAAGACTGGGACATTCAATGAATGAATGAATGAATGAATAAAGAATAAAAACATAACAACGAGAGAAGAATAGCGAGCATAAATTTTCGTGAAAAAGATTTTTGAATAACAAAAAAATGAGAGAGAATTATTTGTGAGAAAAATTACATTTTAAAGAGAGTAGATGTAGATGAGAGCGTTAAAAAGCTTTCGGCATGCTTAACATTTAAAGTGCAATTCATCACTGAAAAGTTTTAACAACTCAAGATTTTCATGAATATTTAAAATTTTCAAATCATTTGACTCTCAAAAATCTAAATTTGAATAAAATTAATTGACATTTTCATTCATAAACCATAGCCAACAGCAATCAAAACAATCGAATCATGCAACCCAAAAAATCAAAACTCTCTCTCTTGACTCTCCCAAAAATCACGGAGCAAAAGAATCGAGAAATGTTAAGCAATGCAACATAATCTCAAAATCTCATTCAGTCTGCATTTAGAATCGAAACGATAAACACCTACAATTTAGTACAGTCTCGTGTAGTTCCGTGGGTTTATGGTAGATGTTGTTTTGGATATATATATATATATATACATACTCTAATATACAACATCATTATTCGTATTATTTTTGATTGAAACCACATCACACACATCTCTCGTTATTATAGCTACATGTATAAAAGAGAATATCATTGTGGATTAAATTACAATTGGATTAAATTACACCCTAATCAAGCATAAACGAAGCGCAGCATTAAATGTGTTTTAAGAATAAAAAAAAAGTAGCAAAGAAAATATGATAAAATGTAACGACAGTTCAAAGCTGATTAAGAATGTGAAATGATTTGATTTTATTCGTTTGAATTTCATTTTATATGACGGAAAATTATTGCCCATTAACAAGCATAATTTTCTAATAATACAAGTGTCGGGTTTTTGAAGAAATAATAAAAATAAAATATAAAAAAAGTGTGAATCAAATTCGAGAGCATAGTGAACCCCTTAATAATAATATTTGTGTATGTACATCAAAAGTGAGAATAAAAGTCTTCAATTGAGTGCACGTCAAAAAGGGAATGTACACAGTTGTAGTTGCTTTCATGCTAAATAGGAAATATTAATTGAATAATTTTTATTAACATCATCATCGCTTTACATTCGCACAACGAAAAAAAAAAATCGTTTGTTTGAATTAAATTGTCTCACATATTTCTCTCGTAAAATATAAATTTTTGTTAGTGTTCCTCGTTGCTTTTTTGTGCTCAATTTGGGGCGGTAAAAGATTGTGTGTAAAAATATAATAAAAAGAAAAAGATAAAACTTATCTTGTGCCATATAAGAAGTAAAATATTTAAATATGGTTTTATGAATAATTGATGTGGATTGTCTCCTAATTGTAGTTGGAATTTACGGTTGTGCAAAATTTATTTTTAAAAAAATTCATTACGTTCGGATTTAAATACCAAATATAATTTATTTTGAGCTAATAGATTTTGGCAATTAATTAAATTAAGTTTCAAAATTGTCGCATTAAATTTATAAAATATATTTGCATCAAAGTATCTCCAAATATCTCTAAAATATTTGAATTACAAAGCTACAATTTTAATCGAATTTTTGTAAATTCCAATTTACTTTTTTTTCAAATATAAAGATTTAAAAAAAATTATTTCTTGTGGGTTTTCTTCAGAATTAAAACATTTGTTTCACGAGAAAGAATTTTAGAAAGCAATAAATCTTCCCACGTAATTAAAAATTTCTAGAAAAATTTTATTGTTTTCCTTTAAAATTTACACGCGAATTAAAAATATAAAATATATTCACAAAAATTGAAAATTTTGTGTGAATATGAAAAAATCTCAAAAATTTCACTTTTGAATCATTAATTGCGAAAAATTCAAATTGATTTTCAATGACCTTCTTTAATAATCTTTGAAAAAAATTTATTTTTAAAAACTGCAATTTCAACAAGTTTAAGAGACAATTTACATCAAACATAATAAAAACAAATATTTATTACCTTTTTAAAATAATTTCAGTAAAGTGAAAAAATTGATAAAATTAATTTTTTTGAAGTTTGAAGAACTTAATGGAAAAGTTGTTGTGTTTTGATATCACATGTTGCCCGGTGGAATAAAACAAAATTGTTGAGACGAAGATAAATTTCTTAATGCATGTTTCTGAGGCATCAAAAATGTTTGTTTAAAAAAAACCCAAAATTTATTTTTTTTTCTGGTGTTTAAAAAAGAAGAAGGAGGAAATTTGTGGTCATTTAGATATACAATCATAAATTAATGTGTATGGATCAACAAAAGAAGTGAAAAGAAGTTCATTTTTCAAAAGAATAAAAAAAAATTATCAAAGTGAGAATATAAAGCCTCAAGATAACATAAAATTAATGAAGAGAAATAGCAGGAAGAAGTTAAAGTTAATGATTTTTAGATATATGCGTATATATCCCGCATAAATGTCAAATAACATAATAGAAGGACTCAGTGCAATTAAAATAAATTGAGTTTTAACAGCCACTCACATACCGAAGACCGCAAATACATAAATCTAGTGATATACAATCTATATTGTCCCCGGACGAAGGGAAACTTAAAAAAAGGGAGAAAATCACAGAGGCAAAAAATTGCTAATAAAAAAAAGTGGGGGTCAGTAATCACACTCATCAGTACGGTTCGTGTCTGTGTGTGTATTAACTGTGGAAGCTTAATTCAGAATTAAATTTTTTCAAACAGTAAGGATAAAAAAAAGGAAGCAAAAATGGGCAAATTAAGCCAGCAAGGAAGTAGTAATAATGATAAGAGTAAAGGAATACCTCAATCGATTGATCAACCAACACAAACCTACATGTCAACAACGACGACGACTACAAAATACCAAAATGATGACCAAAAGATGCCATCAGCAAATAAAATGTGTATAAAGTTTTTCATAAATCTCCTAATTTATGTCATTTGTATACTATCACTAAGCATATCACTTTATTTAAGTTATCGTCATCAAGAGCTAGAGCATAATGTAAAAAATTTAATATATCTAGAGAATAAAGTGATGCGAATTGAAAGTGATTTGGATGAGTTGATACAAAAGACAAATCGTCTATATTCAACGACATCCTCATCGACAATTAATCAAAATATAGTAGATGACGATGAATCGACTATGCGACGTGATTCGATTATCATCGGAGATAATGTTGAATTAGACGCATCGAGTAATGAAGATTCGATTATTGTGAATAAATTGCCTGTACACGTATTCAGTGAAATTACACGCCTCAAACGCGATGTATCGAACTTGAAAATGGCGCGACGTCAGCGACAGACGGCAGTACAACAGTCGCCGAATGAAAATTGTTTATGTCCGCCAGGTGAGTCATGAAAAAAAAAATGTTTTACATTTTGCCGTTTTATTTCCCCCAGTCATTCACGCTATGATATAGCAACGAACATAAAGTGAAATGTAAATAGAATGAGAGACATAAAGGAAAATAAATCATAAAAAAAAAAGTTTACTGAAGTGTCACCGTTGCCGATGATTTAATAGTCCCAAACAGTCCGAGTACATAGCCGAGTAATTCGAAAGTAATTTTGTTTCTGAAGCTTTGTTTGAGGATTCTCGTTATGCTGCGAGTCTGGGGATGAAAAGTTTTAGGTAATGGATGCAAAATTTGGAAATCCAAATAATTTAAAGAATACTTAATCTTTAATTTTTGTACGCATCAATTATGATGATGGGTTCCTATTGCTCCACTATGAAGCGTAGGGCGTTCACAAAGCATTTGAATCGCACTCGATTCTGGGCCAAAGCTGCTATTTCCTGCAGCTTCGTGTTCTGTTGTTCCGCTTCCCGTTCAACAGTTGTACGCCAAGTAATTCTTCGTCGGCCCCTAGTCCTATTTCCTTGGATATTCCAGAAAATCGCTTGTCTCGCGATGTCTGTATGGTCTTTCCTTAATGTATGGCCAATCCAGTTCCATTTCCTTTTCCCAACTTCGTCTGCAATAATTTGTTGTTTAGTCATTGCATACAGTTCTGTGTTCCTTATTGTTTAAGGATAGCATCAATTATAATATCACACAAAAATACTTGAAAGTCTGAAGTTCGAATCTTGTCATTTTTAAAGAAAAACTATTCGTAAAAAGTTTGAAAAATTCCCATCCATCGTCAGCAAACGATTATTTGAATGGATGAGCTAGTTTATGATTTGTTTATTAAACACAAATTTTTCTTCTCCTCATAAATTCTTCATGGATTGTTGGAAATGCTATATATGTGTTCTCTGTGTACACATTCATATCATCATCATATGTAAATTTATTTACTTATGCTTTTTTTTGAAGTAAGACTTCAAATCTTGAAATGATTGGTGAAAATATTAAATATTGACACAAGAAGTAAAAACAAACAGTCCGAAAAATATTTACTTGAGGTAATTTTGAAGAGAAATATCCATTCGTTCATGATGAAATGTTTAATGATGAGAGCAAGAATTTCAAAGGAAATTGAAAAATGATTGAAGAGATTTTGCTGCATAAAAAATTCATGAATGGAATGAAAATGAAAAATTTTCTACTTGGAAAATGATTAAAGGAATTTTCCTTGCCTGATTTAATATAAATGAAAATTTGTGGAAATTTCATAGAGGGTTAGTCAATCAATGTGTTTTTCTTTTTTTTTTGGGTTAGTTTTGAAATGCAAGAAAATGTGTCAGCTGGAGTCGTGAAAATGGAAAATTCAAGAATATTGAATAAATTTTTTTTTTCAATAAATGAAATTGTATTGTTTTCGTTTCCGCGCTATTGAAAATTCGTCTACTTATCTGGAGCTTAACTAATCCTCAAAAACAGCATACTAGTAGAGCCTCACAATCTATTGAACATTCCAATAATAAACTGTCACGTAATGGAAGAAAATTCGGATTCTAGTTAAAAAGTTTTAAATGTTAATTTCACACAAATTTCATTTCAAGCTTAAGAGCCAGGTGCGTAGCCAGGAGGGGGAATTTGGAGGACAAGGGCAAGGGTTTTAATGAAAAATTCGCGAAAATAATGAAAAATAAAAAATAGTGTGAGTTCCCAGAAGTTTTCACATTCTTAAATTCAATTTGCAGTTAATTCAGTAATATTACTTGCATTGTCAATCATATTCTTCTCGAATGTCTTTGAATGACGAGAAATAAAGGAACTAAAAGCTGTTTCATTAATAATTTCAAGTGCTGACAGTTCTTTCAGATTAAGAAAGTAAACTGAATAAGAATTTAGAATGTCACTGTGAAAGAAAACGCATTCCAAAGATTCCAAATTGACATTGGTCAAGCTCGCATGTTTAAGGACATGGAATATTCCAACAAGCCCTGATTCAAACTGGAGATGCTTGAGATTTGGAAACATATCAATATTCTCCCTTATAAGGCATTTAATTGATGATAGCTGAAGTTTCTTATATGATAATTTCTCAATAGCACGTAATGACTCTGTACACAATTCTGTGACATTTTTTCTTGACTCATTTGCATGTTCATAATCTTCAGAATCATCCAAATTAAATTTAAAACTGCTCATTAGCTCCTTTGAACTTCCTATTATATAATCCCATATAGTTTTCAGTAGCAAAAAAGGCATGTAGTTTTAAATTTATAAATAAAACGCTGAAAATTTTGTTCGTACCTTCTGCACATAAAATTGCAGCTTTTAAGCATCTGGAGACTTAAATATCCATAACTTCATCAGGTAAAGTGTTAATAACTATATTACTTCTTGCGAGTAATAATTCATTTTTTCGATTTGATCGATAATTTTCAACTATTTTAAATTTTTATATAAATTCAATAGATAAGTCATTTCCACAGCTAAATCATCATAATAGGAAATTCTCAGTTAAAATTCTAAAAAAAACATAAATTCATAAGCAACACATTTTTTCCTCGCATGCCAAAAAGCAACACAAAGCGACACTAAGCGTCTGAACGAGAAGAAATATTTGTCCTATAATTAAATTACACCACCTACTAATGTGTATGTGAGTCACAAAAATGTCAACAAAAATATAAATTGTCGTTAAAAAAATGCGACAAAAAAAATAATCTTTGCCATCACAACAAACAATTTTCGGAAATCCATAAGTCTAATTCATATTCCCACTTAAAATCTACTTTACTTTACAGATTTTTATTTTGAATGTTTGCGTATGAAAAGGAATAGAAATTATTTTTGTTATGTTGTCTCCAGGTGCCTTCAATTACAAGCGCGTTGGTTGTCGAGATTCTATTTATGTAGTGACAATAGCAACAGCAAGCAACAACAACATGGTTAGGATAAAATAAACAAAATATTATGATAATAACAACAATAAATACGTATAATATTATATGAAGTCACATAAACGACATCTTGTATGACATGAACTCAATTTAAGAAGAACAAAAAAATGATTACCGAAAAAAAATATAGATGACTTTTTGACTTTATATCTTGTCTTTTTCCTCTTGCTGTTGTACGCTCTTGCCATTTAACATGATGAAGCATATTGCATGGGAAAAAGAATGTTGAGGCACTCAATTGCCTTCTTCATTATTTTTTATTATTATTCATTTTCTGAATGTCGAAAATTAAAATATTATTCAGTTTTTCAATTTCAAATTTAAATTGTTTTAATTATCATTTTGAGTATTGTGGCAGGCAATGAATGAATGAATGAATGAATGTTGAATGTGTTTGTCTGTTTTAGCGGATTCTTTTGCATAATGAATGTAGAACTTTATTCAGTTCGTTAGGATAAACAATTTTTTTCCTGTATTAATGAAGTATTTGGTATTCTGGTGTGGTAGAATTATTGAAGTGCAATTTTATGGCATAATTGATGGTTTTGATGACGTCCTTTAATTTTATTAATTTGGTGCTAAATCATTGTTTCTCAAACTTTTTTGATTCATGGTACATTTATCGCGATTTCAAAGATTTGCTAGCACAACAGATTTTTTTAAAATCATCATGTTTGAAATCATTTTGATTCTTTAAGCGCCTAGGTTTGCCTGGAGATCATTGGAACTAGAGTGGAATCGAGTAGGCACATAAAGTTAAAGTCAATTGATCGGCTCGGGCACAGAATATAGCTTGCTGCGGCACATAGTTTAAGAAGGACTGTACATATAAAAAGTCATTTCTAAACTAAGTTATAAGTACAAATGCGCGTAATATCTTGATTTTTTCATTATTTCCTTAACTCAACAACTCTCCTAACTAGCATAAAAATAAATAAATGAATTTAATTCACATTTTTTCTTCACAACTGTGAGAATTTTCACGTCACACAATATGAAAAGCGAAATGAAGAGACACCGACTAGGATAATTCATAGCTGAAAGGTAGTGAAGTTTATTACCCTCAAAATGTTGCCATTACAATCAAAAAAAATTATTTCAAATTCAATTCTCAGTCAGGTTTCTGCAAACTTTTTGTACTCTTCTCTATTATTGTTTTCTTCTTCCTATCGTTCCTCAAACCACAAAATTTGTGAGTGAAAAAAAATTATTTAATTAAATTCTCGCTTATTTTTTTGTACATCGGAGTCATAGTGTCTATATAGAAATTTAGTTGTATATTCACACAAAATGACGACGATGATGATGATGCTGCTGCTGAATAAAGATGAAGGAGTGAAAAGAATGGCAAAATTCGTATTTCGTGCTCAAATTTAAATAGATAAAGTTAATTGTTTTAATTATAGCTCTCAATTTAAAATATAGAAAACGTACGAGTGGTAAAGAGAATAGAACGAGAATTACTACAGAGGCGTATTCTAAACTTTAGTCTTAATGGGAATCGATAAGAAAAACTGTTCATATCTGCCTTTATTTTTGCCATTTAGTCGTTTAGAAAGAAAAATGAGAACACAGAATTGGCAGTTTAGCAATTATCTGTAAAATTCACGACCCGAAAAAAATTTATTTCTTCATATACACATATACACACCATTCCAGAGTATTAAGTGTGCTTCTGTGAAAATTTTATGACTCCATTTTTCTGTTAATGAAGTCTGTTAATTTAAGTACTTATAAAATTTGTGGCATGTTGTTTATTTGGTACTTTTGATCGATGGTTGGTTTTATGAAATTCTAGGTTTTTAAATTTTTTTATTTTGGATATGGATTGATGCTTCTCAAACTATTATCCGTGATTCTTTCCACGACACAATACTTTGTCATTAAAATCATCAATTGAGACGTGAAATGAAGGACTGTACTTAAATTTCATTAAATAAATGATTTACTCTGCTAATGTCCAAACCGTTTGGGAGATACGAACGCAAAAAACTGCAGTTCTGGTCACCATCGCTTTGCTGAGCCTCTCTCCTATTTTGCTAAGCCAGAATAAAAATTGATTAGCCAGTTTTTGGTCACTCTTGGATTATAAGTAATCCTCCATAATTGCAAAAAATTTAAAAGTCACAAATCTAGCCACATCTTATTCTTCTTCATCACATTTATCTCACACTCAAAACTATCCAACCTTTAAAAAGATGTTAAAAATCAAACACAACCCAGACATTTTTCACCACAAATCCCTCAGGCCTAAAGAATAGGAAAAATAAATAAGATATAAATTAACACTGGATGTGAGTTTAACAACAACTTTATAAAAAAATAATTTACCATTGAATTTGCTCAAAACAGTTTGTGTGATAAAAAGGCGAGAAGAGAAGAAGAAGAAGGACTGAAAAATAGAAAATAAATTAAGAAATTGGAGGATTATGATTCGTTGACATTAAATTCTTTTTATGAGACACGTTACGTTCAAGGTAATAAAAAACTTTTTTTTTCTGTGACTCGCAATTTACGTTTTTTATTATGTATAAAGAAGCACAAAAGACAATCATTAAGAAACAGAAATTTTTATTGAGAATATGGCAAATTAAGTACACTCAATGGGGAAGCAATGAAACTGGGAAATGTGAGAAGTTCGCTAAGATTTTGATGGGTTGAGCATGTTTATGGATCTTTTAGGGATTTTGCAGTTTTATAAATTTTGTATTATGCAGAAGTTGTAAAGATAAAGTCCACTGGTCCATAAAAATATCTTGCCCCAATTCTAATAAGTAAAACCACATATTCCCCTCTTAAAATTGCTCCAAAAATATCTAGTCATACATAAAAATTTATTGCCTATTTTTAAAATGCCTACAATCATATGACAATGTCTAGGGCAGTCAAGTAATTTCTCTTTGCCTCAATCGACGATGGAATTTTAATTTTCTTGAAATGTAAAAGTTTTTCTATCTCCTCCTCCCCACAAAAGAAAGAAAGAAGAAAAATCTTGAGAACTATTTCAGTAAATACGAAAAAAAATCTTCGCTTCCTTTTAAAATTTATTGATTCGAAAACAATTTGAAGAAGAAGTCGAGTTGGAAAAGAAATTTATTGGCAAATTTGGCATCTTAATTTGAGATTGTATGTCTTTTTATCTATCGTTTGTGTTGTTTTGTTTACACACATTCGGCTTTCATACTCAATAAATTTTCAAAACCGACGACAGAAGGAGAAGATAAAGAAGAACAAAAATAAAACAAAAGAATGTTATGGCAATGGAAACATGCAGCATTTGAGGCTTAGGAATACAATAACAAATATAAAATAGCATAGAGGAAGAAAGGGAAAAAAAGGAAAGTTAATGGACATTCCTCGAGCGAAATAAAAAGTTATCAAAGAATTTTCTTCTGCTTGCTGCTGGTTTTCTTTTGTGAACATAGAGCTGCAAAAGGAGAGAGAATAAATTGTGAGCGAGATTCTATCGACAATACTGAATGCTACAAAAGATCTTATACACTGAAAATCACTTCCAGTGTCCTTAATTCTGTAAAAATTTATGCAATTGCTAAAATCAGCCTAAATTCTACAGCACAAAATTAATTCCCAACTTTTTAATGACACAACTAGTACAAAAGAAAGACTTGAACAAATTTCCTCCTTTTTGTCAATCGAGACATTTCTTATTTACGAAGTAGTTCCATTTATTGTTATTGCTTTTTAAAAAAATCAAGACAGCATAAAAAAGCAAATGGAAAAATTATTTTCCCATGATTCTCAACCCAAATTGCGCTTCAGAAAAATTATTCTTCATTTGATGTTGTAATGCTTGACACTGGAATGAGAAAATTCCTTTATGCAATTCACAACAATTGACATCTCTTGAATGTGTATGTGTTTTTATAATAAAAAGTACTTGAAGTGCATAAAAAAAATTACACAAGAATTCTTTTTTCTTTGCTGAAAACTTTTAAAAAAGTTTATTGTAGTTGAAATAACGATGAAATACTTGAGATAGGGGTGTAGCCAGGAATTTGAAGAGGGGGGAACAAAAAAAAATTTTATATGGAAAATTCAGAGGGAAGGGGGGAATTTTATGATTTTTTCCTCCTAGCAAAATGAAGAAATTTCTGCTAACGTAGGAGGATTTGTCCCCCAAATCCCCCCCTGGTTACGCACCAGACTTGAGTTAAAATGAAAATTACAAAAGTGCTTGTTAGAGCAAAATGGAAAACTTAAGGAACAATTTTTCTTTTCAAT